TAATCTTAAAATATAAATTTATTATTATTATTATTATTATTGTTGTTTGTATTATTAGTATCCCCTAAATGTGAGGGTCTCACCTCTATCCTCCCCCAAATATTTCTTCCACCTTAGTTTGATACAATCCTCCGGTGTAAACCATGGTTTAGGAAAACTACTGTTTCATTATTCAACTGTTTTCTGTTATTTGTTTAGTCCTAATTAACGACCAAATAGGCCAAAATCTAACATGTTATACAAACGATCGGATGGTTTAATATTGTCAAGATTAAATGTGTGGCTCAAAACAATCTACCAAATTTTAAAATCTAACTGAAAGCCAAACTTTGATTGTCAAAAAATTATTGGTGAAATAACCAATTCCGCTAATGAAAAGGGCTCTTAATTCTTTTGAAAACATTTACATATTTTTATTTATCTATCTATTTTCCACATGAAGGCAAACATTGTGATCTCATGGTGAAGTAAATAAAAAGCATAATTTGAAAATGTCGATTCAAAAAACAAAGTAAATACCCCCAGTGGTGTATTGTATGCAGGCAGGGGGTTTTATCAATTCTAACTTTTTAGGGGGGGGGGGGGTCGAATTCCATACTGATAACTATAGCTTTTACTTATATCCAAAGGGGGGGGGGCTAACTCACATAGCTACTTTGTAGTAAATGCCCTACTTCAGAAGTGTTCCTCAAACCCATATCTATCCAGGTACAACTCAGTTTCACTTTGCTGCCAATATCTAAACCCGGGCACAAGATTGTAAACTATCAATGCCAAACTAACTGCACGATCTCGTCAGCTATCGATGTCAACACGGACACTATCTAGTAATCAATCAATGCCAAACCAATGGGCGCAATCAATGATCTATAAATGTCAACCAGACATTAGCTCATTAATTAATCATTAATTATCATTAATTATCTACGCCAGGCCAATGGGCATAAGTAACAATTGTATGTAAATAAAAATAAAAATAAAAAGCTTGCATTATATTTTTATAACTGTACCAAAGCTTTGCTAATTCTTTCATGACTGAAGTCAGAAGAAAGATTTCCTGTGGTGAATAATTAGATCAATAGTAAGCAAATATGATATAGTGAATATTAGAAATTATTCCCAAGGACTTGGTGTAAAATTCATAATGATTTTGCACCAGTTAGTGTTGTTTGTAAACAAATCCTAAAACCCTGTCCTAAAGATGGGAATGTTCTTGTTTTTTAACAATCAATTCATTCTTGATAGTTCCTTAAAAAGAGCTAACTCTTTACTGGATTGCTCAATCTTACCAAAATTGTTCCTTTCCCAAATTCCCAAATTCACGAGTGTTACCGAACTTTAGAGATTTCAATATCATTAACGGTTCTGAGAGTGACAAAGATACCTTCCCGCCCCNCTACCACCATGAAGATTTGCGCGTTAAGTTGACCGGAATGCTTGAAAGCATTGGCAACAAAAAATTGCTGTAGCAATCATTTTATGCTCCACATTTTATTTCTTTCTTGTAATAAAAAAATTCTCTTTCTGATACAGTTTTTTTTCTTTGGTAGTGAAGCATTAAGTAGTGAGTGAAGTTTTAATTTCAAAAGTTATATTGCAAATCAGTGAGTGATGCCTTCTTTAGTACAGTTTAGTGATGCTCTTAATAATCTTGAGAAAAACAAGATGGCGCGTGAAGAACAGAAATCCCCTGATTATTCACAATCCAAGATGGCGCGTGAAGATCAGAAATCAGCTGACTCTTCACAAACCGCGCCAAATGATAAAGACGCTTCTAATGATGTTGGAGGAGGAGTGGAGGATAAAGTAAGGATGAGAATTGCAACTATAACAGCTTTAGCTGATGAGCTTAGAAGAAGACGAATTAGAGAAGATCATCCTCATTTAGCCGAATCTAAAATAAAGCAAGGTACTTTTCATTGGAATAATTTTAAATAAAACGCTAAAAGAAAATTAAACAAATATGTGCTCAGTAAAGCCATAAAAAGGAAAAGGCAAATAAGAAATTAAAACATGTAAAATAAATTTGTTAAAAATCATTTTTCAACGAATTCTTGTTTTTATATAATCTCCTGAAACAAAGACAAACTTCTCTACAAAGATTACAGTGACACAACATTAACATTTAATGACAAGGAACATGAAAATTAAGTTCTTTGTTGAGAGAATAGAATTTACAGCTCACTCAAACATACATTATATCAAATGTGAATGTGAAAATAAAACATGAAGGGAAATCTAGACGAAATATAGTGTTTCGGATTTTATTTTTTTATTTTTTATGCTTTTGCTTTTAAAATCTGATTATTTTCATTTGTTGCTTCACATACTAAAGTTGCTTGTGCATTTCTGCTTCAGAAATAATGGCGAAATTTACAGAATTAAATACTTTTTAAGCTAGGAAACCAAAATTATTTTCCCCATTATTGATTTAGGTTGGTAAGTCCACTGATATGGCATCAACCTTTATTACAAGAATGATTTTACTGATTTATAGAATACAGAACTTTAATTGCTTATAGAGCTTTAATTGGTAATTACCTTTATTTTGCATACTAGGGTGTGAACCCGACTTTGCCTGGAGCTTTCCTATACTCAGCTTAGTATCTTTAAACCATGAGCTCTGATTTCTCATGGATATTCCTCCTTCTCCAATCATAATGCGAGCTGACAAATTGTTCCAGGGTTCATGAGTTATGATTGGAATTCAAACAGACAAACATATAGAGATTGTAAGAAGAGACTGAAAAAATTAAAATATTAAA